ATTTTGACGGCCTAATTGCTTGCTTTGTTAATAAGATAATCGACTATAAAAATTTAAACAAATAAAGTTCTTATATCTTATAATAATATGAATCAAAATCTCAAATTTAGTTGGTGGGGTCCCGTAAGGTGATTTTAATAGCTTAGCCCCATATATAGTTTATCTATAATTATATGATAATACATGTCAGAAATTTTATTATTTAATAATTAATTAATTTTATTTAAATATTAAAACTCTAAAGAGTTTAAATAAATCTAAAAATTTTTTAATATAAATTGATTCAAATTAGTTTCAGATTACATAAAAATCAATTTGAAAATTTTTATTCTAATTTAAACTAAAAAAATCTGAATTGATTTGAAAATTTCAGAATAATTTAAAAGTTTAATTCAATTATATGTGAAATTTAAAAAATCATAAAAATTTATAAATTTCTAAAAAGATTATATTTTTTCATGAAACTCTTAAAGAATTATAATAAATTTGCAAATTCTTTAAGAGTTTCACAATTTTTTGTGATTTTCTTCAAGATTTACATATAATCAAAATGAAATTTTAGATTAATCTAAAAAATTCTGATTTAGTTCAAATTTATTAATATACAATTTTGTTTAAATTTAGATTAGCATTTTTAAATTAATGATCTAAACTAAATTAAAATAAAATTTCAATTCAGATTCAAATTGGTTTCTAAATTAGACTAAACTTAACTATTTGAAACTTTAATAAAGATGATTATTTTAAGATATACTATATATATTATATTAATTTAATTAAAGATGTTAGGATTCTAACCTATTAAGAAAACCAATTGTAATTAAAATATTAATATAGATTGTTTTATAGTAGAAAAAGAAGAAACTATCAAAAAAAATTTTTTTGAGTTAATATTAAATCTGAATTTATTTTACTAAAAAATAAAATTTTACTTAAAAAGTAAAATAAATATATTTTTGGTAATTTCCTCTTTTTTTACTACAAAATATTTATATTTATAATTGGTATTTCAAATCTACAAGATATATTAATTCTATAAATATAGTAATATATTAATAAAGTAAAGGTTAAAGAGAATATTGATGAAATTATTAATAAAATTAACAATAAATAAGTGAAAAATTATATTTTAAAATTTGAAACATAAAAAATCTTTAATATAAGATTATGCTATAATTATAAATAATATTAAAAACTTTATTCATAAAATATATTATAAATATCATTTATATAATTTTATTAAGAAATTTAATAAAATTTTAAAGTAAAAAAATTAAAATAGTATTAATCTAAATATAAAATTACGTGTTAGTAATTATGATTATAATATTTATCAAATATATTATTATTATTTAAATATTTAAATATATAATTATTAATAAATACTCCTAAGTAATAATATTATTTGAATACTAAAAACTTGTATAAACTAAATAATCAAAATTTGTGATAAAATTAATAGAACTTGATTAAATTTAAAATATAAATTGATTAAATTTAGGATAATAAAAAATAATTAAGTTTAAATTAAAATTAATATTAATATAAGTTAATTGTTTTGTGGATTAGTGATATAGATAAATTTTCATAATATTAAAAGTATTATCTTAATTAATTATATTAAATTATACAAAAATATTTTATTTTTATATAAATTATTTAAATTATATTATTTATAGTATAAAATTATATCCTTTCATTATTCATATTGTCTCCAGGAATTCTTAATTCTGCATTATTTTGACCTTGTCTATGTTTATATAAGAGGAAAAATCCAATTGTTAATAAACTACCGCAAAATAAAGATCCAATGATTATACCAATCATAACTGGTATAGATTGTATTATTGTTGGTATTGGTGAGGGTAATGGTGATAATGATGATGAAGGAAGTAAAGGATCAAAAACTGTAGTCCATTTATATTCTTCATTATTACTAATGTCAAGTAATAATATATTATTTTCCAAATCAGAATTATAATCAGATCCTATTACATTATAATAATAATATTAATTTAAAATTTATTAATAAAATTAATAAAAAAAAATATATAATAATTACCAAATGATATAACCATATATTTTCCAATTACATTTGCTTTATGATAAAATCGAGATGTTGGAAGTTTTCCAGAAACATTTGGAATTTTCCATCTAAATGTACTTAAATTTAAAGTGTAAAGTGAATCTGTAATACTAATGTTATTTTCATTCTTTCCTCCAAAAATTATTATTTGCTGATCATCCAATCCTATATGATAAAAAAAAATTGAGAATTATAAGAATTATAAAGAATTTTATTTATTAACTTATCTAACATACCAAGAATAGCAGTAAAACCAATTCTATCAGAAGGTATTGATCCAAAAGTTTGCTTTAATATAATTAAATTAAATTAGATAATTAGCAAATTAGCTATAATTCAAATTTTTTATTAAAACTTTTACAATGTTAATAATATATTTTACTTCAATATTCCATTGATCATTAATAGTATTATATAAATAAACCTATGAAATAAACATTTAATATTTTATCAAAAAATTTATCATCATAATAATTTAATAATTCACCTCATTTAATGGCAATACTAAATGTTTATTGTTATCATCCTTTATTCCGCCTAAATAATTTGATGTGAAATAATGATTTAATAATGATTATAACATAACAAGAATGAATTGCTTACCTAAATAAATGATTTCTTGGCTAGGTAAAAGAACTGCGCCATAATTAATTCTTGGAATAGGTGCATTTAATGAACTTCCAATTCCCCAACTTAAATTTACAGTATCTAAAATAAGCATATCATTAACGAAAACATTACTTCCTATTAAATATCCACCGAACAAGTACATTTTTTTGTTAACATCAATAAAAGCTGATAAACTTCTCCTTTTTGTATAAGATACTCCAGAAATTGATGGGATATGCCATGAATTACTTTGTGTATCAAACATATAAACTAGTGCCATATTTTCTGCATTAGTTAAATTTCTTCCTCCATAAAAGATTAATGTATTATTATCTACACCACCTTTGACAGTTGCTGCAAAAGCATGTGTTGGTATAATATTAATATTTGTTAGATCTTGCCATAATAGATTTTGAGTATTAAATGGAAGTGAAAAATCGAGATAAAAAAATTCTCTGCCGACTTCAATAGTTGCATTATTGACTATGTTTC